CTACACTCACCAACTCAGTAACTATGTCTGCGTGAGCTGCAAAGGGATCTTTAACCAAAGAGTCAAGCATCCAAATTTTCTTTTCCTTGAAATCCACTGCTAAGCACCACTATTGTTCCCCTTCCTTCTCCGAAACATCGAGGAATATTTTCATATTCTCTCTCCTCTCAACTATCATACTACCTTTGATTTTTTAGTTGGCATCATTCTATTATCACACTTGCCAATGCACAATTTAAATGATTAATATTATTAATCATAAACATTGTTAAATTATATATACATTAGGACGATTCAAACAAGATCTCACATGACTATATTTTATCGTACCTATAGATCACAAAAGTAAGTCAAAGTATAATTGGTGAATAGTACAACAATCAAATGGTGCGTGTCAACAAAAAAAATGGAGGAAGTATACAGAGTATACTTTATTCTTCCGCCAACCCCACTTCTTTCTTATTTTACTACTTTCGACTATTTTTCCTAAAACTCCGCCCATGGAGCAAGTAATAAAATACAAAGGGGGTAATATTTTATCTGAAAGATCCAAACATCTAGAAATAGGATTGGATATTCGTTTTGGATCAAATACTTGATTTTTAAATATCCGACAAATTTAAAAGTTGATTGTTTTATATTTTACTCTCATTTTTAAATAATTTAAAATTGGACATTTCAAATGACAGCATATTAAAAGAAATCTGAATCAAATCCAAAATATATATTGAAGTTATGAATTCAACGTGAGAAAAATAAAAGTTGTACCCGTAAATTAAATTTCGTATATCTTCCCTTCCCTTCTTTTCATTAATTAATCATTGAAGCTTAGAATAAAATCTATCTATGTGATACATGTCATCTCCTGGTTAAAAAAATTTCCTCCAAATGTTTTTTTTTTTTTTTTTTGCCAAAGCATCTGAGAGAAGTATTTAATACTTACAACAATTATATTTCTCATCCTACTTGGTAAGTATATTCCATCTATACACATTTAACTAAGATATAATTCTTTTAATTTATACAATACTATGCAAAAATATTTTCCTATCTATAACTTTGTGATGTAATCTATAGTTATTTTTATTAGTCGTGCATGTATTTGAGTATTTTTCCCTCTATTTTTTTTTAGTGAAATATAAACTTTTTTAAATTTTGAATTACAGAACTTTCATCCTATTTTGCAATTAGATATAAATTTTATAGTTTAATAATAGTGTTAAACTAATGATTAATATTGAAAATTATCGTGTATGGCACGGGACCTAAACTAGTTGCAATATTACAAGCAAAACCGATACTAATACAAGTAAAATTGTATTAGTTGCTGTTTTTGTAGGTTTATTGGGGATTAATCCCTTTTATGACCGTTGTAAATAAATAAAAAATAAAAAAGCAAAACCGATACTCAATGGCACGTTGGGTATCATTATAGTTTTCAGTTTTTTTTTTTTTAAAAGTCGACATAAGACTTTAAAAAACATAAAAACAAAAACAAATTAAAAAAACCCCCAAAACCGAAAATTACAATGATACAACGAGCCCTCAAGTAAAACTTATGGGGCAGAAATAATACCGAACGAGCCCTCAAGTAATACCTTTATACCGTTCAAAAGTTATGAATTTATTTTGAATACAACATTGCACTTGAATATGGAAAAATTGCCCGGAATAATCCCACCTTCCGCCCAAAATAATCCCACCTTTAGGTTATTTTAATATAATCCGACTTTATACCCAACACGCTCAAATGATCCCAAGTGACCTGTAATCGGTTGAGTAAGTAATTTTATTTTTTATTAAGTTTAATTTACACGTGTGACAAAGTGATTGGTCAAAAAAATAAGTTTTAACTTTAATTAACTTTTTTTTTTTACCTTTATTCTATTTATTAAAAAAAATAATAAAAAAAAAACAGTCATTCCCAAATTCCCCGATGCAACCCAACCCCCACCATAACGCAGCCTTTGGCGTGGCTAAGCACTTCGCCTGGCTACGCGTTTGGATATTGCTTCAGCTAGGCATGGTGCTCAGTCAAGCTGCTCTGGTGGTAGGACAAGAAGGGGCAGCAGGTGTGACAGTTTGGAGAGGGGCGGTGGCTGGCTGATGTGGCTAGGTTTTCAATCTGGGTGCTTTGGCCGGCGGTGCTGAGGCTGGGCTTCGGCCTGGCCTCGACGACAGGCTACTGTAGTGGCCAGGATGCTGCAAGTGGCAGTAACGTGGCTGGCAGCAGCTCAGTCACGGTTCCCGTATTTTTGAAACTCAATTAATTTATCGGAATTGGGGTAGTTTTAGGGGAAGAGGAGCTGGAATCGGGGTGGTTTTAGGGAAAGTGGAGGCGATTTTCGCTGGGTGAGGAATGGAGAGGGTCGAAAGGGGGTTACCAGTTGTGGAGGTGGGCTGCCGGAGGGTCGAATGACGGAAGTTAGGGTGGCGTGGGGGTTAGGGTGCCTATTGCCTAGTTTTTTTTTTATTATTTTTTACCAATCACAAGCCGCCACATGTCAGGTTACTTGTTATAACAAATTACATGACCGATTGGGACCATTTTGAGCGGAATGGGTATAAAGGTCGGATTATTTAAAAATAACTCAAAGGTGGGATTATTTTTAGAGGATGCTCCAAAAGTGGGATTATTCCGGACAATTTTTCCTTTGAATATTTGATGTGATGTTGATAAAGGTGATAAAAAGTTGGATTTTTTTTCTAGAAAATTTTAGAAAATAACACCACAAATTTCTCATAAAATTAATTATAACACCATATATTTTCAAACTTTTATTATAACACCACATAAAAACCCAGAAATTTGATTTCACCACCACTTAAAGGATTCTTGGTTGGAATCCGTTAGTGGGGCCTACAAAAGACACGTGTCATAAATGTATTGGTTAAGAAAAATTTCAATTAAAAAAAAAAACCTTAACCCAGCCCAGCTGCCACCTACCCCAGCCGTCGACACCCCCTTCCCCCACCAAAATTGGCGAAACTAGCCAACTACCCCTACCCCCCTTCCCCCTCCCCGAAAACTACCCCTTCCCCCCTTAATCGATGCTGCAATTGATGATTGTGGGTTGCTAACCACCGCAAATACCAACCACAATCCACCGGATCAGTGCGAATCGGCATTTGCGAAGGTGGTTACGGGGATTGCTTGGTGCAAATTCATGGTTGGTGGTTGCGGCGGTTCAAAGGGGTGCGAATTCATGGATCTGTGAGGGTAGGCGGAGCTGGGATGGTTTTTGGGGAGGGGGAAGGGAGTATGGGCTGGTTTCACCGGTTTTGGTGGGGTGCCGACGGCTTAGGTAAGGTTGATGATCGCTAAAGCGGGTGGTGCCGGTGGTGGAGCTGGCTGGGTTAGGGTTAAGGGGTTTTTAGTTTTTATTTTATTTTATTAATATATTTTTTTAAACAATAAGCTATTGACACATGTCTGTTGTGGGCCCCACCAACGGATTTCATCTAAGAATCCGTTAAGTGGTGGTGAAATCCAATTTCTGAATTTTTATGTGGTTTTATAATAAAAGTTCAAAAATATATGATACTAGATGGAAGCCCGTGCGATGCACGGTTTTTTCATCTAAGATCATCTAAGATTTTTAATTATTTGTTTATTGTATTTAATAATTTCAGACAAAATTACAAAAGTTTAATATTTAATTATTTTTTTACTATAATTTATAATGAATTTATTAAATATAAATAAATTGTAAATATGATTTTTTTCCGTTATATAACATCTTTAATGTGAAATGATAATTTTTTAATAATTTAAATCCTAAATCATTATTCATTATTTTACCATATATTTTATTTCGATAGAATCACCAATCTCGTCCACAACCAACCTACTACATTAGTAGTTAAATTGAATCGTGAAATGTTAGCCAAACTGAAATTGATATAAATTAAATCTTTACATTTATATAAAATAAATCAATATATTTACCAATAAATGAAAAATTGTTGCGATATAAAATCAAAACTATGCATTGGAATTTTTTCATCATCTCCAAAAATAATCAAAGCCATCCATAATTAAGTATACAACATCTAATCGTATGCCATTACATAAACAAATAATCGTTAAGTATCCTAAATAAATACAGTGTAACTAATAATTACAAATATAAATTTAAACATAAGATTTTAAAAATTACCTGGACATTGAGGACCTAAAACTAACACAAAATTACTAACACAAAATTCGCTTGATGGGGTTTTTTTATTAATACGAAATTTTATTTGTGTCGTATGATGTGTTAGATCTACATGTAAAAAAAACATTTAGTAAATAAAACATAAACATATAATCGTTGAGTATCCCAAATTAATACAATGTAAGTAATAATTAGAAATACTAATTTAAACATAAGATTTTAAAAATTAAGCTAAAAATTACATGGCCATTGATGACCAAAAATTAACACAAAATTCTCTTGATGGGGTTTTTTATTGATACGAAATTTTATTTGTGTCGTATGATGTGTCAATTTATAATGGTAGGTATCACAAATTTTAATTTATTATAATTAACGAACAATTTGTATTTTTTATCATAAATACTGTCAAAATTTATCTTATAATAATAGGTCAAAATTTAAACATAATAATAGGTATCAAAGTTTATTATAAGTATTTATCATTTAAATATTTCTTAGTATATTTTTTTTTTGGATTTCTTATACTTGTAGTATTGAATTAATAAATTTATCTTTTCCTATATTTTTACTTTATTTTTTTCATTAAAATAATTTAATTCGTGGATATAATCTACGTGGCATTAAAATTTTAGATATATCAAATCTAATTCGTTACTTTTATCTAGGTGGCGACATACTTTTGTAATTCAAAAATAAAATACAAATCTTTCTTCTTATTGGTCGAAATAAGTATATTTCTTACGTGGCGCTCCAAATACTCTCAAAAAATGCCTACTTCATATATATAATATATATATTAGATTATAATCCATTTTTAGAGAAACTCATGGTGTTATTTTCTAAGTTTTCCTTATACACTAATAACGCATTTCCTCTTCACAGTCGACAGTGAAATCGCTTTTCATTGCGACAAATTTCTCGACATTTCAAAGAAGACGACATTCTAAACATGAATTTTCTTTCCATTGAAGTATAATCAAGGTATGAATGTATTTCTTCACTCTCAAATATAATAAATTCTGCAATTGGAGGGTTTAATTGATTTTTTTTCAACTGCCTCATAAATTCTACCATTTTTTTTAATCATTCGATGATATTTGAATGCAATTTTTAAATGCTCAAATAATTTGTGAAAGTTTAGCTGCTATGATCTTCTAAAGTTGCTCATTTTATAGTTTAATACGATGTATTTGTTCTCATTTGGTCATTTTACCCTAATTATTGTCAGTTCCTTGTTAATTGATGATTTCCAGAATAGGTGTATAATCTGCATTTTGTGGAGTATTTCCATTATTTGGTAAAATCTCATGCATTTATCTCAAGATAAGTTCAAAAGGTGAAATTGATGAAGTAAGGTGAATTTTTTAATCTTGAATTTCAGTATAAAATCGAGTGCTTACTTCTGCAAGCAATTAACAATTAGGCTCCAGTTGTTTTGATGAAAAACATTTTTGGAAAATCACCATTGTATAAATGATTTTCACTCTTGGGAGTTAAATTTGGTAAGAATAGTCTTGGATTTTGGATAGTTGATTCTCTAATTTGTAATGTTGTAAGTAGATTTATTAAAGAAGATGTGCGTAGTACGTTGAGATTGATATGTGCCTATGTGGGAACACCTTAAGGGGTCGAAATAGGTTTGTTGATATTTGTAGGAAAGTGGAATTGTGGATAAAATAAGGGAGAATTAGTTGTGTTAGTTGGGGTAATGGGATTTTAAAAGAAGTATCTAGATTCTAGAGGCATAGGATAACTTTGATAAAGAGTTCAAAATGACTTGAAGAAAATGTCGTTGCAAAAGCATATAACATAATATAGAAGCGAATGGAGGAAGAGTCTTGGGGATGAACATGAGAGATAGAATCTTGAATATCATCCTTTTCAGAACATATGGCGTTGGTTTTGTTTTATTTTGATTTATTTGATAGAACATAGAACTGAAGCTTAGAAGTTTATTTTATTAGTAGTAAGGAGCCTATCCTTTTCTTGAGGTATGAATCAACATATTCATTTGTTTGTTGTGTACTTGTGTAAGTAGTCTAGCTTGAGAGAAAGAGGGTGATTTGAGTTTCTCTATGGCAGGTTGCATTTTTCCGTTTTTTAAGTCGAGGGTTGTGGATCTTATGGGAAGTTGGGAAGGACTTAAGTCTATAAAATTATGGGTTTTCTTAAGTTTAAATACGTTGGATAAGCAGGATTACATTTGTTTGCTCTCAAAGATAGCAGCTGAACATGTAATGCGCTGGCTGCACTTGAACTTCTGCAGTACTGCCTTTGGATAATTAGGCAATTTTCACATTCAAGCCAAAGCCATCTCATAACAGAGAAGCATCAAACCTCACTTGAATTACTTTTACAGCCAAAGACAATTGCTTGCACGCCTTGCAGTATAGTTACAACTGAAGCATTCAAGGCGTAACACATGTTTTCTTCATATGAACTGTTTTCTTGTTTGTGAAGTCCGGGAATCATGACAACAACAATAATAACAACAATGGCAATGAAATCAAGATAAGGATTATTATAATGGTGGCATAAACTATTGGGGAAGTCCTGGTGAAAATCTGCATACCTTTGCATTGTTTTGGAGCTATCACTTGACTTCTTATTTCAGTGCCCGAGTATGGGACGGTAATCTCAAAGTGGGAGAGGGGATATTTTCTCCTTGAGCCCTTGATAAATTTTGCTATGCTTGCTGTCAGTTTTAGGTTTCCTTACCTGTTCCATTTAGTTTTCGCAATTGCATTAAGGATAGTTAATGAGTTAGGGGGGACAAAGGATGAGGAAGTTGTATGGTAAATCTAGGGAAGTCAAAGAAAATCTTGTTCCTGATCCTTCCAAAGATGGGTTTGTGGTAGTTTTGTCATCATCATTAATGCCTTTATCAGCATTAGCTAATTGGATTTCTCAGTTGGACTTCCTAGTTTATGGTTGGTACCAGAAGCTTTTACTGACAGTGTGATGGGTGATTACTTGAATGTTTTGTTTAACTTATTTTGTTGCTGAAACAAACCTATTACTATGAGCTGTGGTAGAACAGTGCCTAAAAAATCCTTTTCTCAAGGTCTGAGTATTCTTTAGTTCTTTAAACCATACTTGGAACTCTTTGACTCCCTATTCCAATTTGCCCCTGTAATCTGTCTTAGTATAAGGTCTGAGTATTCTTTACATCCCTGCTCTTGGTTTAATGAAAAATCCTTTGCATTATGTTTCTTGGCATCTGTAGCTCCAATTGAAAAATGTAGGGTTCTAGCCTTCTAGGTTAAACTGCTGGGTTTAGAGTTTGGACCACCACTTTTCATCTTTTCTATACAGCGGTCTACTAAAGTGTTGGTCTCCATTCCCTTTGTTATCCTGTTGAAAAGTACTGTCGTTTTTCCCTGATTTTGAATTCAAAAGCTCATTCTCATGAGTCACCTATCTCCATTGCTGGTGTGTCCAAGAGTTGGAAAGTATGGAAACCTTTGCTTAGTCACTAGAAAACTAAACACCTCATGTATAGTTCCCTCGAGGTTCCTCTTCATAACTGAATGCTTAACATTTGTTGAAGGAACACTTTTTTTCTAAACTGCAGATTATATAAGCAAGCAAAAGTGAAAAACTATACCCCAACATTGCCTGACTTCTCAGACTAAGCTGTTACAATGCATTCCTTTATTATCCTATTAAATATTATATTTTAAAAATCCACTTCTTGCTGTATTGATTTTGGTGGGGGAAAGGGTGGGGAATGCAAAGTCTTATATGTTCTGCAATAGACATTTCATTGTACTCCTGGAAAGTTATGACCTGATTAAAAACGTTTTTTCAAATGTAACTTTTTTTTGTTTTCAACCAAATTCTTTAAATCTGTCTAATTGAAGTTAATACTGCAATTGTATCAACACTTTGTGATGTAATCTAGAGAAAGGGATGCCTACAGATTAACCAGGATAAATGTAAAATTTTATGTAAGCAACTCTTTGCATCCTTTAGCTATGTATTGGTCACTGCTTCTTGCTTATCGAAATGTCCTTCGCTAATTGTGCATTGTATAAACTCTTCTCTTGTGTTAGGCCTTTTTTTTTGTCTGACTGGGAATGTTGGACCATGCTAAACCTAATACATGGAGTCTTGGGTTCTCAAATGACAGCTTTATCAATGTTACTTTGACAGCACCAAGTAGATAATAACAATACATCATCTAGGCCTATTTTGAAATTGAGTGTTGCAAAATGCTTATATTATCTATTTTTCTCTATTTTCACTGTGCCATTGGCAACTTGCAAGCAATAATGCATAATCAAGTAATGAACTTATTTTCTGCATATGAAAGGGATCATTATTGGCTCAAACTGGAAAAAAGGTAGCTTTCTGCATTTTGACTTGCGTACTTTCCATTGTTGGGTAATAGAAATCCTTCAGTTGAATCATTTACATAAATTTACTCTAGGAACTAAAAAGTAAACAAAAGTGTACAGAATTACATCTATTGTATAAGACATGTACAGCTTTAGCATGGTGGGTAAGCGTGGAAGTTTCACTTTGGTTCCATGGACTGATTTGGCTGAACCCATGACAGTAGTACTCTATCTGCTTTGGTTTGTCAAACCCAGAGTCAATGCGCATGAAGTAATACTTTGATCAGTTGATAAGAGTATAATAAAATAATAGCTTTTGTTGATATTAATTCAATTGCTAAAAATTTCATATTTTAGCCAATCTATTAGAGTATTAGAGGTAATTGAATTCAATAAACAATTTGATGGAAGGTTTTAAGCAATGTCTTTCTATTCATTACATTCATCAAATTTGTCTTCTCACCCAAATCCAAATCTGAAATCATTTTCAGATTTGACATGAGTTTGCATTTCTCTATCCTAAAAATATGTAAGGCATGTCCAACTCATACACACAACTATCGAAGGAAGTCTAAGCCATTTCCTTGGCTATTTTTAAGCATCTCTTTTTACAGTTAAAACTGAAAATATGAGTGTACATACTTGAAGCAGCATAAGAAGCAGCTGAAGGATGAGTGAGTTGCTGTGAGAGACTCTGCTGTGCTCTGTGTCCATATGATCAGTACCCTTTTCGTTCAGCAACAGACCCTGCTGCGCCCTGTGTACATATGATCAGTACCCTTTTCTTTCTGGAATAAATGTGAGGCAGTCCAGGTCTCTAGGAGCAAAAAAGGTAGAAAATTGAGAGAGATTTTATATTATTATGGTTTTTTAAGATAGAATTGGGTTAAAGCAGATTAGTGATTCTACCATTCATTAGCTTTTATTTACCTTATTTTGGTTTGTGTAATTTTGAACAGAAATTCGCAATGATTGGAGTATATAGTTTTGGGAAATATATGTTAATTATTGTTGCCTTCCCTGCCACCTTAGATATTGAATACAGATTGACAGTACTTGGCTACATGTTTGATGCTTCAGCTGGTAACTGGTTCATCCGATTCGTGCCAAATTACTCCAAAGCCATTTCAGCGAATGTGTCCAATGCTACAACTAATTTTTAGCATGGCTTCCTGAGGTTGTCGTCTGGACTCTGAACTATGGAGTGACAAAATTTGTTTTGTAGATTTAAAGAGTTTTGACTTTGAGGACTTATGGACTATGTATGCAACATCCGCCACCCGCCACTAGATGGCGAGTAGAACTCCCCTGCTGTGTGTTTATTAATCAAATATCGGAAGCATGAGATAGGTTGGTCTCTTAGAGTTGTACTTGTATATTTTTTATTCTCTTGATCAAAATTACTTCCCAAAAAAAAAAAAAAAAAAAAAAAACATACTCTGTAACAACCATTTATAAGAACTGTTTAATGCAATTAAAAACTTTCATAATAACTACATTAGTATTCGTGTATCATGTGCATAACTTTACAAGATCAATATTTCTTCTTGTTCTGTTTCCTAGAGTACACCATACCTCTAATCCCATCAGGGTCTGCAACAAACCCTAACGGCCTATAAAACCCAAGAACTCGAGGCTCCGAATACAGCGCAATATTCGTAATCCCTTTCTGCATCAACTCCTCTAATATCCTCTCCACGACCGCCTTCCCTAACCCGACCCCTTGAAATACAGGATCAACAACAACATCCCATATGATAGCATTGAACACACCATCCCCTGTTGCTCTAGCAAAGGCCACTGGCCTCTGTGTTTTATTGTACTGCACCCATATAAGAGAATCCGTATGTTCAAGGGCAATTCGTATCTTATCGGGGTCCCGCCTCGGAAACCCCACGGCTACAAAGACCGAGTTGAGGTGATCAAGGTTGAGACCATCAGTGTTGCGGTGAAGGGTAAAGCCTTGAGATTCGAGTGCGTTGTCGGACACGGTGTAGGATGTTGTAGGGAGCTGAGCTGAAATGATAGGGAGCGTTAGTCTTTGAGGGTGAGTTTTGGTATGGCGGAGGGAGGGTGATGGAAGAGGGGTGAATACAATGCTAGAGCGGAGGAGCATTGTATTTGGGTGCCAAATTTTGTGTTGCAAAAGATGAATATGGTTGAAATTGAATGGTATGGGATGATGATATGTCTTGTGTGTTCATGGATTTTAGTGGAGTTATTTTTTAAAAAATAAATAATATTCCTTTTTTCCTTAAAATAAAAAAAAATAAAAAATAAAAAATAAAAAAAATGTGGTTGTTATTGTGTTGTTGGGGAAAAGCAGGAAAGGTGTGTTGAGCCAGTGAGCTCAATTGTCTGCGGGAAATGATCTAAGTGACAATCATTTTTGGCTTGGTGGATGTGTATTACTCGATAAACTCATAAAATGGACTTGGTTGGTTGTGTTTAATATTTGGCCAATTAGTAATGGACCTAGCGATTGTGGCTATTTAGATTACTCGACCCAAAGGCCTAAACCTATCCAAAGTTACATGACACTATGATAGGCCTTGTTTGGTAAATAGATGAGATTTCATATATTTGGGGGCAATTAGGTGATTAGACACAAAATTATTAAAAAACTAATAGAGTTTAATAAATTGATTTGAAAAAATGTGTTTCCAAGCTTTATTTGTGAAATTGTTTAGGCAATTTTTGTACTCGTAATAAGTTATTTTGGTGTTTGGTAAAATAGATTTAAAGAGCTAGAAATCATCAAATGATACCACCTAATCAATTTTGTTAATACAACCTGTAGAATGGTGTAATTCTCCTTAGTCGGAGTATTCTCATTAACTCAACATATATAGGTGATTACAAACCTAATGACGAGAATACAATATTTACTAATTTACACTTAGATATATCATTACAAAATATTAACAAGATAATATTAACCTATTATTTATCACACCCCCGCAGTCGAAGCGGGAGGAGGTCAAACGCTTAGACTGTCTCTGAAGTCTAAAAATAGTTGTCGGGGTAAGCCTTTTGTGAAAATATCTGCGTACTGATATGGAGATGGAACATGTATGACCTTGATGTGACCAAGTGCGACCTTGTCGCGAACAAAATGAATGTCCATTTCAATGTGTTTGGTACGTTGGTGTTGTACCGGATTGCAAGAAAAGTAAACAGCAGAAACATTATCACAATAAACCATGGATGCCCGTTGTATAGGACAATGTAGCTCGAGAAGGAGATTCCGGAGCCAACATATTTCAACAACGACATTAGCGACACCTCTATATTCTGCTTTGGCACTGGATCGAGACAAAGTAGCATGTCGTTTCGCAGACCATGAGACAAGATTATCACCCAAATACACACAATACCCGGAAGTGGAGTGACGAGTGTCCGGGCAACTACCCCAATCGGCATCTGTGTATGAAATAAGTCTCGTAGGAGTAGAACTGTATAAATGTAGGCCATAATCCAAAGTTCCTTTGATATATTTGATAATACGGTGAAGAGCATTAAAATGAGGTTCCCTAGGAGCATGCATGAATAAACAGACCTGCTGAACTGCATATGAAATGTCGGGTCTGGTAAAAGTGAGGTACTGGAGTGCACCTACAAGGCTCCTGTAAAGGGAGGGATCCTTCACTGGCTCACCATCGTGAGGCCCAAGTTTTGACTTAGTGTCGACAGGTGTAACAACCGGTTTGCAGCTGTCCATCTTTTCCCTGTGAATAATTTCCTCTGCATACTTACTCTGACTGAGAAACATAGTGTGCTGTGATCGTGTTACAAATTTCCCCAAAAAATAACTTAGCTTTCCCAAGTCAGACATGGAGAATTTAGACTTAAGAAGATCAATCATATCACACTTGAGTTTTTCTGAGGAAACTGTAAGAACAATGTCATCAACATAAAGCAATAGATAAGCAACATTAGCACCATGTCGCAAAATAAAGAGGGAATTATCCATTTTGCTGCATACAAAACCAATCTGCAAGAGGTAATTAGCAAACCGTTGATACCAAGCCTGAGGAGCTTGTTTGAGACCATAGAGGGATTTGCGGAGCCGACAAACATGAGTGGGAGCATTAGAATTGACAAATCCCGATGGTTGATGCATAAATACAGTTTCTTTGAGGTCACCATGAAGAAACGCATTTTTGACATTCAACTGGTGAATGGGCCAATCTCTACCCATAGCAATACTCAACACAGTACGAATGGTAGCCAACTTCAAAAGTCTCATCACAATCAACACCAACTTGTTGAGACTTGCCGTTGACAACAAGTCTCGCATTAAGTCTCTCCAAATCACCATTTTCCCTGTACTAAACAACAACATGCATCGAATAATATTTACCCCCTCCGGTCTTGGAACAAGATCCCAAGTATGTTGTTTAGTAAGAGCATTAAATTCCTCATTCATGGCGGCATTCCAATTTTGGTCAAGCATGGCTAATTTGGGATTTTTAGGAAGTGGAAAAATAGCTTGATACTTTGGGTTCGGTTTAAAAATCCCACTCATGGCACGTGTGTGCATGGTGTGAGATGGTTGAGGAATTTGCCTTAGGTGAGGAATTGGGCTAGGGTGAGGAAGTGACCCGAATTGGATCACATTTGGGGAAGTGGGGGGAGTTTGGGGCGAGTGAGGCGGGCTGATTAGTGGGCTCCGCAACTGGGTTGTGGCAGAAGCATGTGTGCCACAGCCCACCTACGGAGTAGACTGGTTGGCGTGATTTTGGGTGGGGGTTTAAGGAGATTGTGGAGTATGGGTGTGAGTTAGGCTGGATTGAGGGACTCTATGTGGGTCGGCCTGGCTTAGGGGTTGCATGAACATGGGGTTTATTCTACTGTTGAATCCCGAATCCAAAAAGTCATAATCATTCTGTGTAAAAGTTTGAAGAGTAGAAAAAAGAAATTGATCTTCAACAAATGTGACATGACGCGAAATGATTATTCTATTAGAAGACAAATCATAACATAAATAACCCCGATGATTAGACGGAAAACCCAAGAAAACACACGGATTGGATCTAGGTGCAAGCTTATGAGGCGCAACGACACTTAGATTTGGGTAACATAGGCAACCAAAAATACGAAGATGATCGTAAGAGGGTATTCTACGAGTCTTATTCTGTATGGTTGTGGAGGGAAGAATGTTAAGATATATATAGGAAGCCATTGACACTGAATAAACCCAAAAGGATAGGGAAAGAGAGGCATGGAAAAGGATAGTGCAAGACATATTGTTAATTGTGCGAATAATCCGTTCATCTTTACCATTTTGGGAAGAAGTATTAGGGCAACCGAAAAATCATGCCATTATCCACACAAAATTTTCGAAAAGGGGAATTATCAAATTCACAACCATTGTCACTTTGAAAAGTTTTAATGTCCTTTTCGAATTGAGTTCGAATATATGCTCGAAAATTAATTAAAATATCATAGACTTGAGATTTATATTTAATAGGGAACACCCATAGAAAATGCGAGAAATCATCAAGCAAAACTAAGTAATATTTGTGACCCAATTTGCTAGAAATATAGGAGATGTCCATAGATCCATATGAATAATATCAAATCATGAAGAAGTAACAGAAGTAGAGGACTTAAAAGGAAGTCGTATATGTTTTCCTAATGGACAAGAGTAGCAAAAATGAGAACTATTTCTCTTATTACAACGAATGAAATTATGTTTCCTAAGAAAATAAAAAACAGGATCGCCGGGGTATCCAAGTCTATGATGCCAATTAAGTTGAAGGAGAAATAGAGATAGATGACTATAGCCATTTGTAGCGCAAACTGATGAGAAAGGATAGAGGTACCCCACACTATTGCACCTCATTAGAGTTGTCCCCGAATAAAGGTCCTTCACAGAAAAACCGAGAGGGTCAAACTCAACAGACACAAAATTGTCACAAGTTAATTTCCTAACAGAAATTAAATTTTTAATTATGTTAGGAACATAAAGGACATTCTTGAGATGGAAGGGTGGATTAGGTGTAGGGGTAGTAGAATTTCCATAACCATTAATCGAAATGCGTTTGCCATCACCAACTAAAATATATTGAGGAATGCTCAAATTAAACAATTTAGAAATTTTACCTGAATCACGAGTCATGTGAGAGGTGGCGGCCCCGTGTCCATGTACCATTCATTGTCAGCAGGCTGGAGACTCATAAAGCTATAGGCTTGGTCCAATTCCTTAGGAGTCATAAGCTGGTCATAACTGGGTTGAGCATAATATGCTTGTTGTTGTACTAGACGAGGGCCCAATAGGGAAGGGGTTGACCCACAGTGTTGTTGCTGCTATTAGGTCGGACTGGTTGGAAATGGGCAGGGTGGTTAAGCCCATTGCCCGTTTGGAAGATGCTGCCAAGTGAGCGGCCCACCCTACTGAGGGGCCTGTTGATTTTGGGCTTGCCACCGTGGCCCAGATTGTTGATGTTGTTGTTGACTATTATTGTTCCCACGACCCTTTCCACGGCCTTTAGGCTTGCTGTTGATACCATCACCCCGCCCCCTTCCTCGGTTAGCACCACCATCACGCTGATCGGCTGCCGCCTGCTGGTGGTTGGGCTGTGACACAGCTGATATGGACTGGGTTTGAGAGGATTGGGCCACAAGAACATGTTGACTCGATTCCTTTTGCTTCTTTTGTCGAGTTTCTTCCAAAAGGAATATGGAGCGTGCTTTGTTGAAGCTTGGTGTGGGTTTGGTTTGGGAGATGTTTGCAGCGACGGTGTCATACTTACCCTTGGTGATTCCCGCAATAAGTTGCATAACCATCTTTTGATTGGAGACCGAACAATCGACGTTAGCAAGTTGATCTGCAAGGAACTTAATTTGCTTACAATAGTCAAACATATTAGCATAGTGTTCGAGTTTGGTGTTGGTAAATTGTTCCTCCAAGTACACTGCCCTAGTATGCTTATTATCATGAAACAACTCCTCAAGCCAGGTCCATAATTCTTGAGCCGTGGCACTCAGTTTCATGATGATGTGAACAAGGTCTTTGGAAATGGTTCCATAAATCCATTGCTTCACAATAGCATCCAACCTCTTCCAAGTTGCATCATCAATCTCCGTCGGATGAGAAACGGTAGTATCAATATGATCTAGAACATTGAAAGCACAAGCCTGAATCTGAAAAAGTTCAACCCACGTTGCATATTGTGCCTCTTCGTGATCGAGTGTAATAGACATGAGATTTTTATGTTTGAAACGGCAAAGGCCGGGTGGAAGGTGTTGTTTGAGGGAGGGGTGGAGGGGGGGAGGAGGAGTGTCATCGCCTGCCATGGAAAAAGGGAAGGATAGGCCGAAAGTTGTTGGTGATGTGCGGCAGTGGTGGTTCACGGCAAGGCCAAGGATCGGCTAGGGTTTGTAAGAGGAGAAAAAGAAAGAGAAGAGAGAAGCCCTAATTGGAATCTGATACCATGTAGAATGGTGTAATTCTCCTTAGTCGGAGTATTCTCATTAACTCAATATATATAGGTGATTACAAACCTAATAACGAGAGTACAATATTTACTAAATTACACTTAGATATATCTGTACAGAATATTAACAAGATAACATTAACCTATTATCAATCACAACCAACCAAATCAATTAAATTGAAAGACCAAAAATATTCATTTTGATGAGCAAAGTTTGGTTGGAAAAGTTGATTTTCAATTTCATTCTGATTTTGAATCAATGTTGTAACATTAACCCATTTTTTGAAATGGAGTTTCACTATTCTCAGTGTAATTTAATTTTTTTTTAGAGACAATCAATTATTCTGTGTTATTGAGAAGGTGGATGATTAACATAAGAAGTGGAGCACCATTGAGATCCCGATCCAATTCATCACTCATTTCTTATCTATTCAATTTGGGTTTTCATCCATTTATTTATTTAAAGCGGATGACTCGAATTAATAGATATCCATTAACTAACTCTACTGACAAATTGTTATAAAGCTAAAACCATCATCGCCTCATTACCCTTCTAATAACCATTTTATCACCCCCCAATGCCCCTACTAACGGATGGACTTAAAACTAAAACCATCGTTATCCATCTCACTACCCAAGATCTTACTTATCTCAATAACCAACGTATTTTACATGTCCAAATTGGATTTTGATTTTAACACATACAATTACCAGGTAGATTTTTATCTACATCCTCGTTCTTTCACTCACCAAACCTTCCCCATCGTCAACCGAAACAAGGGCAATTTCGACTATATGGGGCAGGTCTTTACTAAAACTCGTCACAATGACGTCCAAATTGAAAATTGCCGAATTGTGAAATAAAAAACAAATATAAGGGCAAAAAGTAGAAATATTGCCATGTGGGTAGGTGGTTGGTGAGACGCTTCAGGCTGCTCGATCTTTAGTGGGGGTGTTTGGTTGGTCCATGATGAGAACATAAAAACTTTGTAATAAACGAAATTATTCAATCGTGTTAGCCAATTTTGACCTGCTTCTGAGAGTTGTTAGTTTGTTACTTCCTAGGAAGGAGAGAGAAAAGCAGCATTTTTCAGGCTCTCAGTATTTAATCAAAGATTCAACATCGTTACATTTTACACCAATAATTCTATATTATTTCTATTAAACCCAAATCGTTATTTTTTATCTGGGTTTTCATTTCATTTTCTATCCACCAATTTTTGAAGCAGGTATATTATTTTTCTTTGTTATTCATATCATTTTTGATAATCTGGAAGCTGATGGATGGAATTGATTGATCTGGGTGTTTTCAATTCTTGTTAATTTTGTGTTTTTCTAGTGTTTGTTTGTGAAATTAGTTGGTAGAATTACTTATCATCTTTAGATATATGAAGATCTATTGTGATCTTCAATATTTTTTGATGATCAGTTTTGTGGGGTTCTTTTTTGATTCAATTTGTTTTGTGATTGGTTTGAATTAGAGATCCATTCGATTGCAAGGAGATAATATAATTTTAGATCAAATTTGGATGAATTTCTGATGGAATTGGCACAATTTCTGGTTTTTTTTGTCTGTATTTTGCTTTGCTTACTGTAAAATGAGTAAGCCTGAAAAGTTTCCTGCTTTAGTTTGATTAACTTTCTGGAGAAAGTTATAAGATTGTGTACTCCTAGTGGCTTGATGCCTTGATTCGATTAATGAGGATATACTCTTAATTTCGCCCCGCTCTTTTCCATCAGTGTCAAGGATCAGGCAGATATGATGTCATTGAATCTTGTTGGTGTTCATGGCGCTAGATGTTTTTTAATCAAAATTCTCACCCCTTTGATCAAAATTCTTTTGTTATAGGAATAGCCCTGTGTTTCGTTTCCATATGGCCGCCTTTTTGTGATATTCATGAGTTGTAGGAGGAGTTGAGTTTATTTCCTTGCTTAAGCCTTAAGATGCTATGTTAGTGAGTAGGTAGCAAATTACAGAAGTGTTGGTAGATAAGCAGTGTGGTAGGTTAGCAGTTTGCTGTTTGGATGTTATGAACTGATATAAGGACATGAGTGCATTTTGCAAAAAGTAGTAGCATGAAGAAACTAATTGATATGAAAAGGGTTAATTATAGCATGTTGAAAAATAATACTTGTTGATTAATTTCAATAAGCTTTAAAATCTATGATTCAGTGAACTCCAATAAATAGCAGATTGACTAACCTATTATCTCCTGCCTATTGTTTACCAAATACCCTCTAATGCTATGTTTGATATTAGCTGATACTCCGTAACATATTTGATGAACATATAGCTCATTATATTAGAGGTGTATTGAGCTTGAGTAAATAGCAGATAAGCAGATTGTGTTTCTGTTTGGTTGATTAGCAATTTTGGATGTATAAAATGACACAAGGACATAAGTACATAATATTTAATAATAGCACAATGTAAATAATTAGGAGTATATCCTAAGGGGTCATCGGGTAGATATAAAAAGTCAATAAATTCTTTATCAAATGCCAGTGGATAATAGCATGACTGAGCATATGAATATACTCAATTTGCCCCTATCTACTCGTTATCAAAGAATCCCTAAATTCCATCTAATATAGCAGTCCTTCCATTTATCTTCCCTTCTCTAGTTTTGATGTTTACTTCTCTATCTGTGTATGTTTAAAAAAATTATACCTTGATAATTTATATTTTTGGATAGGTATAAGTGATGGCTCCTCCAACAAGAATTGGTCTTGCTGGTCTGGCTGTTATGGGTCAAAATCTTGCCCTTAACATTGCTGAAAAAGGATTCCCCATCTCTGTTTACAACAGAACTACCTCAAAAGTTGATGAGACTGTTGAACGAGCCAAACAAGAAGGAAATCTTCCTGTGTATGGTTTTCATGACCCTGAATCCTTTGTCAATTCAATCCAGAAGCCCCGTGTTGTAATCATGCTTGTAAAGGCTGGGGCTCCAGTTGATGCAAGCATCAAAACTTTGTCTGCCTATTTGGAGAAAGGGGACTGTATCATTGATGGAGGTAACGAGTGGTATGAGAATACTGAGAGAAGAGAAAAGGCAATGGAGGAAAAGGGACTGCTCTACCTTGGAATGGGAGTTTCTGGTGGTGAAGAGGGTGCAAGAAATGGACCCTCTTTGATGCCTGGTGGTTCTTTTGATGCTTACAAGAACATTGAGGACATCGTTCTTAAGGTAGCCGCTCAGGTTGATAGTGGCCCTTGTGTAACCTATATAGGCAAAGGAGGCTCGGGCAATTTTGTTAAGATGGTTCACAATGGAATTGAGTACGGTGACATGCAGTTGATTGCAGAGGCTTATGATGTGCTTAAATCAGTTGGAAAGCTCTCTAATGAGGAGTTGAAGGAAGTTTTTACAGAGTGGAACAGAGGAGAGCTTCTTAGCTTCTTGATCGAGATAACAGCAGATATTTTTGGAATTAAAGATGACAAAGCTGAAGGTTATTTGGTAGATAAAGTGTTGGATAAAACTGGCATGAAGGGTACCGGTAAATGGACAGTTCAGCAAGCTGCTGAATTATCTGTTGCTGCCCCTACCATTGCATCATCTTTGGACTCGAGATTCCTCAGTGGTCTGAAAGAGGAAAGAGTTGAAGCTGCCAAGGTCTTCAAAGCTGGAGGGGTTGAGGATACCCTATCGGACCAAGTTGTTGATAAGAAGAAATTGATTGATGATGTTAGGCAGGCCCTCTATGCTGCCAAAATATGTAGCTATGCACAAGGAATGAACTTGATCCGTGCAAAGAGTGTTGAGAAAGGGTGGGATTTGAAACTCGGTGAGCTTGCTAGGATATGGAAGGGTGGATGCATAATCCGTGCTATATTTTTGGACCGCATCAAGAAGGCATATGACAGGAATCCAAACCTTGCAAACCTCCTTATTGATCCAGAATTTTCGAAGGAGATGATTGAGCGTCAATCTGCTTGGCGTAGGGTTGTCTGCCTTGCTATCGGTTCTGGTATCAGCACCCCCGGTATGTCCTCCAGCCTTGCTTATTTTGATTCATATAGGAGGGAAAGGTTGCCTGCTAATTTGGTGCAAGCTCAAAGAGATTATTTTGGAGCTCACACCTATGAAAGGGTTGACATGCCTGGTTCTTTCCACACTGAGTGGTTCAAACTCGCTAAATCCAAGATTTAAGTTGAGACTTCTGATTTCTATCCAAACTCGCTAATAATCAGCTTCCGGCCACCAAATTTGAGCTGTGCGTTTCTTTTTATGATTTTTATTTTTTACTCTATTTGTTAGAGAATATTTTTAATCTTGAAAGGCTTTCTTAATTGTGTTATATAGATTCCCTTTTCTCTTTAGCTTTCATATCTTTTGGATGTCGCTAATCTTTAAGAACTCAAGTTTAGAAGCTTTTGAAATCTGCTGTCTTAAATGGAAACACATTGCGAATGACAAAACTCCCATCCTGTTTAAGGGGTGTGAGTGTTCAATGGATCAATTCTTTTATACATGATAGAATCTTCTATATACTACGACATTGTCTGGCTGATAACACATGTACCATATTGCATCCTGCGTTATATTTTTGTACCTCTATCATCTTTAAGCTCTACTTCTCGGTGTGCACCCTCAGGTGATACAGAATTACAGCCCCTTGATTACGCTAGTACTCTATAGTTTTTCAATCAAAAATTCCTGCTCCATTAGAAAGCTTTTGCAAGTCCCTTCAGTTTGAGGTTGTTGTTAGATACACCGTTGAAAGTTTAACTAGGATAAAATTAGCTGTAGCTACTGAATA